ACTTCTCCGTATCAGGTATAATCCTTCCCACTCCTTTTTGTTCAGATCTGGTTCAGTTTATGGTTCAGAATTGATCCTTGAAAATATGATTTTCTAAATGGGGAATACGATTTCCAGTTGAAGGGAGAGAAAAATTTTTGAAATTCGCCCCTTATTCCTCAATCTTTTGGGCGTCCATAGGATGGATCTCTCATCCCTTCAAATCCATCTCAACTTTATCTAATAAAATTGCTGGTGCAACTTGAGCAGGTTGGACCAGATTTGGGGAAAACCATGTCCAACCCTAAGACATGGACCTCTGGCCCACCTGAGGACCCAAGACCACCCCAAGCTAAACCCAACACAATCCACACCAGACTCAGGCTTGTGGGGGCTTAGGTGGAGGTTCAATCAAGCCTAGGTGGATTGGTCAGGTTTCTCTTTTGGATACATCGAAAGACAAACTAAACTAATGAGGAAATGCATGGCCCCAAGCATCATGGGTTGGTTAGGTTTGAAAGTCTTCTTACTCATGCCTTTCACTTCTTTCATTTTCTTTATAGCCCAATTCAGAACTATAAAAAAGGAAATTTTATACAAATATCATTACATAATTCATATAATCACACTCATATACTCTAAAGGGAACATAATAGTGTGAATATATACATGTATGCATAACACAATACACAATGTACATTTATGCATGTGGTAAATATATTATGGGAGGTTGGACTGGTTCAGGATTGAAATACTCTACACCTCACCCGACCCCCATCTTATAACAAGTGAAACCTCTCTTTTATTTTATTTCATTCTTTTTCAATTAAAAATTGGACACCAAATAACATTAAGTGAAGATCATTGAAGATCATACTAGGATTCTTTTTTATTGTTAACTTCACATTTTATTAAAGAAAAGATTACATAGCTTGCTTGTCATAGAAAAGCTTACACACATAAGAAATCAACCAACAACAAAATGTCATGCTAGGATCATCTGATTAGTAAATTAAACCTACATAACTCCATTAGAAAACAGTGATTTTGATGAAATCTGAAAAGCCATGGGATTTAGTAGCTAATCATTTGGGGAAGTTTTTTTCTCCATATCAGTTTGCATAATCTTTCAGAATTGAATAAATGCAGAAAACATGACAACATTGTCAGTTATTCATGAAAAGGTAAATATAGATGAAGCGCACAATGCACACAAACCTCTGGAGGGTATCCCAGATCATAAACCAGCTTTCTAGTTGTGCCATTGTATGCAAGGGATTCAAACGTTTCAGGCATGTACTGTGCTAAAGTGTAATCCATATCAAACCCAACTGCAACAATATTTTTCATGTTTAAAGATCTGTTGCAAAAGATCTGTTTTCCTATATCAATTTTGTGCCCCCCTTCATGAGATGACCAAATACATCGATCCTGAGCAGCATCATTAGAAATGGGATGTTGATACTGTGATGTCATCCCATCCATTATATTATTTGTATGAAATCGATTAAACCCTGAAATTGATTGCAAAATTAGCATTAAATGGTACTATAATATCATATAAATATGTGTAAACATAAATATGTGTGATATATCATAAAAATATATAAATAAATCAACATGTAATATGTTTAAATCTAGAATAACAATTTGATTTTATGACAACCAAATATTGTTACATTTATATAGTGAATCACCATATCCTAATAGTGATCATAAAATAGCATTAACAGCAAAAGGGATTGTAAACTACTGTGAGTATGACGATAAAAATCTTATTTAATCAACAATGACAAACCTCATTGAAAGGGAGAGAAATGAAAAAAGAGTAATATAATAGCTGATCATAGGAAAACAAGGACAAGAAACAAGAAGAGGGGAATAATGAATACAATAGAAGACTCCATACAGCTACCTCTATCTATTGCACTCCTGTTTATGGTTGCATATAAAAAAACAGAAAATGGTTGTTTATGGTAAATTAGAGTATACTTCAATTTAATAGTTAATACATGGATACAAACATAAATACATACATAAGGATTGTTTTTAAAAAAAAAAAAGGTAATTTTCACATGCCTGGTTGCACTTCATTTCTTGAACACAAAGTGACTACAAACTTTTTTTTATGCATAAGTGACTACAAACTAAATTGTTGTTTTTTTTTTCTGAAAACAATCTGTTTTCTGGACAAGGACCTACCATACAGTTGTTAATCTCTGTTATTTCACATGCAAATAAATAAGGCCCAGGAATTCAATGTTTCAAAACAATTACAATTAAGCCTACATTTAGTCAAAGAATACACCTCAATCTCAAGGCATTAGGCAATTCCAAGGTGTAGCACATGCAAACACATACAGACAAGTATAAGTCTCTTTTTTTTTCTTTTTTTGATCAGCAACAAAAAATTTATTAATTAAGAGAAAAAGTTACAGCTTTTAGGTAGCTTTGGCTACCCCTTACACACTTAACACGGAAATGTTAAACAACAGAAAACTTTAAACTTTTTTATTTTACTATTCAGCCCAGAAACAATGCTCTCTGTTAACCCCTTGCTTAGCTAAGTGATCTGCTAGGCAGTTGGTTGATCTTGGAATCCATTGAGAGACCAGTTAAATTCATTCCGGAAGCACCATGGAATCTTCTCATTTCATTTCAGCCAGCTGATAATAACCTTAGAGTCCCCTTCAAGTATAAGTCTCTTTATTTTTTGTTAATCTTTCTTTTGAGCTACAATAAGAAAGAGAAAAGAGGTACAACAGCAGTCACTACTAACAACAACGCTCAAAACAACCAAATCCTAGAGTCATCACCCTCATAGTGTCAGAAAATAAAACTAATCTTCCTTCAAACCTCGTCTTCCATCTTCACTCCATTTAGTTTAAAATTTTCACCTCTCTACTATGAATCACATGTCTTTCCTTAAACTTCAACTGCACACCCTAACTTTTGCCTTTTCTTTTTCCCTTCTAGCCCTAAAAAATTAAAAACTTTTATTGCAAATTCCTCACCACCTAGAAAAATAACCCCAGCTTCTTGCCAACTTGAACTTCTCTTTCAACCACAAGATTCATATCTAGCTTGTTATTAACTTCATAGACAGGAATGACATCTTCAATCTCCTCATCACAGGTTTTTTTCTTAAAACCTTACCCATCCAACCTCTTTTTTGTATATCCATTCTTAACAAAACTCAAGCCACAAGTTGCTGTGTCATCACAAGAATCAAATGAAAACATTTCTCTTTTGTTAGATTTGGAATTGATGAATTTTGCTCATTATTCCCCTTCTCTCTACTATGACCTTCTCACAATATATTTGTTGTATATCATACAGAAATTGTACCATTCCAACATAAAGAATCTATCAGTGATCAAAAGTGAATGGAGTTTTGTATGTGTATTGGGTGGGGGTGGGGAGAGAGAACTGTGTACATAATCAAAAGAAACTTTGGAAAGTTCCATAGCATTATATTTATTAAAAATAGTGCAGTTCTTGATTTCATTTGAACATAAATGAAATCTTAAGGTCATATGGATGTCTGTAGATGATATCATATATAAGATCAAAATTCAAGACCAAGTAAAGTTAAAATTTGAAATTCACAGAAAAAATGTAGGAAATGGGTAGGCCAACAATTGGATAGAGTTAGCCTCCTTTAGCACAAGCAAACCAAATAAGCTCAACCGCATCATCAATACTCATTCCACACTTCCATAAACAACAGCTGAAGCAATACCTCTAATCAGGCACCAAGAAATGAGTTGTTAAATCAATTACAAGAAAGCTACTAGTTCCATGTATTCCAACAAATCCCTTTTACTTATTCAGTAAACACATGGAGTCCAAATAAAAAATTGTTCTTATTTTCCCCCACAGCATCTTAATTCTTACAGAACAACCACTTCTAAATCCTAATACCACGTATCTCTCAAATTTGGAAAGGTTAAATCCCGTATATTGGACAAGAAACTCTACCGACCCTTATTTAGCAAACTAGCCTAGAAACAACATAGTATGCAACTTACCTTAATGATTGATAGAAACAACCCAAAGTGCACGATGCCCTGTTCGGCTGTTCCAACTCGAACCCGCTCCAGTAATACCTAAAAATTCAAGTTTCCAAGTAAAAAGCAGCCCTTCCTCCTAAAACAATTTACTATCTCTACACTCTCCTTCTCAACATAAACAACTCAACTATGAAACCCGATTAAACCTAAAGAAATACTCTAGAAATCACCAAAGTTAGCGTGAACAATGAGCTCCAAGTAACCCAATAGTAAGAAAAGGCAGATGGAAAAAAAATAAAAATAACAAAGAGTAAAAATGACGAACCTCCTAAGTTGAATATCCCTCTTCGCCTCCTTAGAGATGGACAGTCGACTCCAGAAATGAGACGAGAACCAAGAACTCCCGAATTAAATCCAATTCCGGAGGCGAAAGGAGGAGAGAGATCAAGCGAGAGAATAGACAGGCAAATTGAAAACGGCCTCTTTGAAATTCGCATCTTGAATTTAAAGATGCATCTCGGAGCAGTGTGCGTGAGTGGATAAATCGAATCAGTTCCTTGAAACGTTGTCGCTCGACTAGTTGTTGCTGTTGTTGACGATGATGATGACGATGACGAAGATATTGGAGGAGACATTAAATCTTTAATTCATGTTGTTTAGGTGGAAAAGAACTACAGAGAGCAACAGAAAGAAAAGAGACTAAATTGGAGGGAACCACATTCGGAAGGGGAGCTTCCTCCTAAATTCTCGTCAACTCTGGTTGCAGTTGGAAGAGCAAGATGAAGTAGTTGAGTTGTGGGGGAGTCCTACGCTACGCTAGGCCAGGCTTTACAATTACGATGCGCCACGTGGTTTTGGCGGGGAGTAGAGAGAGAGAAAGCTTGCTTCGCGTGCGCCCGCGCCTATAACCTGCGCCGTGGATGCATGGCTATATCATTAGCACAGTCATCAAGATTGATCCACAACTCCAAAGGCTGTGGCTGTCAATTGACGCTTTCTGTCTACGGAAAAACTACCAAGCTTTTGGGAGTGGCAAGTGGCGCAGTGCGCTGACGGGGAGAGTGGAACCGAGGAAGAAAAAGCATCTCCATCGTGCGCATTGCGCACCCTCCAGCTCACACACATGCGAAAAAGTCGATTCTCTTTGCATGAATGGATAAGACAGACAAAACTGGATATAAAACTCTTCGCGTTCAACCCATTGCGTGAATGGATAAATTAAAAAAAAAAAAAGAAAAAAGAAAAATGAGTCTCCTCTCCTCTCTCCTCTCAGCAGAAAGGAAAAAAAGGAAGAACAAACAACTCATATTCTCAGAAGCATCTAATTCCAGAAAAGGAAAAAAACAAATTCCATTTGGTTGGAGAATATGCTTCATTGCTTTCGGGATATGAATCTTTTATTTATTTATAAAAAAAAGAGTAAGAAATATATACTTGATTCTGTTGGAGTGTTTGGACATTTTCCGAAACCAAACCAGGATTAGGTTCGAATTATTTACCAAATCATCGAGATTGTTTATAGAAAATCCCGGCCGGGAAACTTCCAGACGGCAGCTAGGACTTGGCGGAAACGGACTCGGGCATCGACTTCCCTCGCTCAAGGCTGGCCAAGAAGCTGTACATTTTCCACCGTTCTAACTTTGTGAAGGCCAACGGCCCGAGAAGAAGAAGAGAGAAGAAAAGTAGAGAAGTAATGCCTAGAACGATTATTTCCAGCATTAATTTTTATTTCTTATAAATTACAAGATTGGAGGGTGGGAAAGCTTTTCCCGGGCAGTATATTTATTGGAAAAAGGTCCCATAGTCATAGAGATACGGGAGGAGTAACAATCAACATGTTCCTACTCCCCTAAACAGGCTGAATGTATGTGTAGAGTGACAGAGTGTAGTTGGGCTCATCATTGTCCATGTGGCTCATGTAAGAGGCCATCGAGTCCAGCTGTACCATAACAAACAAAAACTGCTAGACGAGTGGGCAGAGCAGCAGGGAGCAGAAGCAAAATGATGAGAATGAGATCATGGGTGGGGTGGGTGATGATGTCTGAATCCTACACGCGAGTCAAGATACACCACGTAAGCGTGACATGTGGGATCCACGTGTAACAATCCGGCTGATGAAAGCATGAAAATGGTACAACCGGAAGTATTGTTTGCAGATGAGATGGACAAGTGGCGTCACGGCAAAAGAGGAGGCATTGAACTGTCACCACAGCGACGTGACACAGCGTTCATTTTTTAACTGCTTTTTATTTTTCGTATCAAGCTTGTTTTTGTCGTCTCGTTATTAGCAATTCCTATGATGCCGGAAAGTATGATACCCAATATGATGTCACATGATAAAAAGGAACTTCGTGCAATCGCCAATAAGATGAAAAGGAAAAGTTTATGATGCTGGAAATATGGGAAAGGGTTTTATTAATCAAAAAACTCCGTGAATTTTTATGAAAATCCACTTGATTGTTTATCACTTTTATGCCCGTTGATTGGTTATTAGTTTTTTTTTTTTTTTTTTGCATCATATCTTTTCAGCCTTGAAATCCAATTTGGTAAAAAAAGTTCAAGTATTTTTTTGTGAGAAAAAAACTATGATATCGGAAAGACATGATATGAGAAGGCTTTGACAAATTAAAACCCCCTTATAAATTTGATAAAAAAAACTACTTGATTGGTTACCAATTTAATGATACTGGATGATTGATTACAAGTTTTTGTTTGTGAGAAGTAAAATTATGTTGTTGATACTTGATTGTTCTCACCTTATAAGAAAAGAGGATGGAGGTAAGAGGGTTATTCATTTGGAGTGAGGGAAGAAGTAAAATGATGCAGTCTCCAATTTTTATGAGATTGAACTGAGGTAGAAGGTAGTGCAAATTTTGCATCAGTTTTTAAGAGACAAGATTTGTATTGCCAATGTGCAAATGGGACAAAGTCTTAATTTGGAAGGAGTATAAATATAAATATGTAGAATGCAAAATCTGATATTTTGTAATATTTTGTATCTATTTATACTGTACATACTTGCATTTGTACTCTTTTCAAACTGAGCCAAAAATACAAATTTTGTATGAGATAACAACAAGTTTCAAACTATCGATATTCTCCATATGTAAATTTTGCATATCTCAAGTTTGTCTTGATCAAAATGCTTTATTTTCCAATTTTTTTTATTTAAAATTTTGACTGGTGAGTGGTGGCATATTACATCACTTATTAGCGTTTGAAAAATAAATAAATAAATCATCTAACAACTGGTGATCCAGTGAACACATGTGTTGATGCTTGATGCACACCAATACATTGCAATATTTTGAATCTTGGATAGCAACACAAATCATAATTACAAACAAATGAATACAAAATTAAACCGAATGCAAATTTTGCATTCGGATCAGATTTGTACGGTAATCAAACAGAGGTTAAGGTTGTAAATTAATTTGTAATAAAGTATAATCAAAATTGGATGAAACTACATATGTCTCCATTAGATTACATTTTTCCTTAGTAACCAGAATACCTTCTGCTAGGAATGCTGGGAAGCAACACAAAAGCTGCAAAATACCTTGGCTGTCACTGCCACTATAGAGTATAGAAAAAGGTAGGATCCACAGTTCGACCAGATTTACCTACCATTCCACTTGTTTCAAACAATGAAGAAATGATGAACCACCTGTTTATTTGTTTTGAACCACTCTATCTCCTACCCACAATACAGTGTAATGGGAACATCTCCCCATGAATGACAAGGGACTTGGGGAGATATTCCCCAACACGTGCCTGTACCCTGTAGTGTTCTGTGGGTAGAGAATTGGGGATGTGGAAAAAGTTTGAAGATCCGAGCTCTGCCCTGTCCTTTTCACTTTTATATGGTCTTTCTTCCCTCGGTTGTGCTAATTTGTCAAGTAATAGAAAATATTCCATCTAATGCCCAAATTCTGGCTCAGTTTGGAAGAAATACAAATACAAATAGGTAGATAGCAAAACTTTGTACGTATAAATATGTACAGTACTGTATTTCTAAACCTTGTATTTGCTCCCTAATCCCTACATAATAATGAACTAGATTGGGGCATTGAACTAAGTTGAAGTAGGGAGAAATTTTTCAAAATTTACAACGCACATCTGGAATTATTGTTTTTCCTAATAATGAGGAATCCTGGGTACTAGTGATTGTTTAAATAGCATGTGGACAGAGTATATGATCAGTATGATACACCCCAATTTGTGAATTGTTGCTGCACTAAATCGACAGTAGCAGAAAGTTCCCTTTAACAAGCTTTTTGTTTATTTATTTATTTTTTGGGATAGTTCTTGTTAACAAGCGTATCAATGTGTAAGTATATATGAGTGTATATATGCATGCATATGTGCATTAAAAAATTGTTATCAAGCATATCATTTTGCGTTTAATTTGGGGAAATATACAGATACAAATCCCGCCTCTCCCCGAACACTAAATATATAAACTTCACAACCAATTTCCCAAAATGTAGCTTTAGTTGGTTAAAAACAAAAAAAAAAAAAGCTGTAAGATAATATATTTTGTTTCTTCTTCCTGAAACATTTTTGCACTACAGTTCTTTCGGTGGCATTGCTGATGACTAAATCTTGCCATGCAGGACTAGTTGCTCGCACGAACATTGTTAAATACATCCTTTAACCAACTTGAATAACAAGATTGCTAGACTTGATGCTTCTCACACACACACACATTGAATAACAAGATTGATATAGATGCAAATAAAGCACACCCCCCCCCCCCCACACACACACACACAAAGCTCCATTTTCATAGAAACCAAATGTACAAACTTAGTTATAATTCTCACATGTCGCACTAGGGAGCATTGCAATGAGATGCTTTACTTCTTAGTCATGCCTGTATTAAGAGGGATAAACAAATGACATGAGATGTCATATAACAAGGTTCACATGACATCATGTCTCTCACCAACTTCACTCCAGGAAAAACAAGGAGATGCGATCTTACTCAGGAATGTAAAAGCTAAATTAGGCCCTCTTCCTTAAAGGTGACCCTTTCACCACGGCTTTCATACTCTGTGAGTCTCTAAAGCAAACAAAATGCACAAGTGTCTTTCCATTGGGGTAGACTGCAAAAACACTAGTCCCTATCTTTTTGTTGCACAGAGAGCACATGCTATCACTGCTTATCTTCACAACTGTTCTCCTTTGTTTATAAAGTTCCTCTTTCACCTGCTTCATAAAACAAGTAGATTTCCTAAATACCTCAATTTAGCAAATTCTCTGGTTGGTTTCAAGTAATGCTATAGAAATTTTGAGGGCATCAAAGTAAGAAATTGAAAAATGAGACTATAAGTCTATAACTAGTCTGTTTAAGATTCAGACTTCAATGAGGTCTAGGCTCAGTCCTGTACAGACTAGAGTGTCTAAGGCATGCCAGTACACATAGTATACATAGCAGGCTGGTCTGAGCAACCATTATATGGTCACTTACAAAACCTCCACCATTTAGTTGAGTTGAACAGATGATTGTCACCATTAATTATTCATCCTCTTTGTATAAAATTCCTACCCTTATTTGTGATTGGCAATGTCCAGAAGAACTTGAAATAGAATATTACAATTGAATTAATGTTTGGTATAGAAGAATCACAATGTGCAATGGATACTGCACATTTTGACTCATAGCACTCACACTCACCTGCAAGTTCTCACTTTGTCGCAAGCTCTTGATCACTGAGAAGTTACGGTGTGCTTCACTGGTTGTTCTCAGAAGTGGTCCAAGAAATGGAAGCAAGTTCTGTCAAAACAACAGAACTCCTCAATGACACACAGAATCAAATTATATGACTCATAAGCACAATTAAACAAAAGTAAATTGATGAATAGCATCCCATTCAAAAGTGCAAATATTTGATTGTTTCCTATTTGGCCATCTGTTTACATAAACAGATGGGGATTCAGATTTTAAAAATTGCATCTGTTTGAATGGATTGGATGCAGATCTAACCCTATTTCATCTCATTAAGATCCAAGTCTGATGAAATTATATAATTATATAATATGTGTGTATTATATTATATATAGATGCATATATAATCATGTATATAACATGCATAATAATATATAATTATATAAGTTTATGATTGATAAATCCATCATTTTATATTTTATACAAATTGATTCTATATGTTTGTCAAAGAATGGTTAATTTATTTATAATTTTTAAGTTTTTTTCATTATTTTAAGATGGTGAAACAGACTCGGATTAAATCCAAAATCCAAAAGAATCTGAATCTGATCTTAGACCCCTTAAATCTGATGGGATTTTGGATCAGATTTAGATTTAGGTTTTTAATAATTATATTGGCCCAGGAAAAAGGTAGGCCACATTGAAGAAAGAATAAGAGAAGGCAAGAACCAAATCTGTGTTTTCTTCTCTTTTGGGACCCAAAAGATCTTGTCGCATGGAAGATTCCTGTGTTGTTTAGACTTAATTAAACAACCCAATAAACAGACTAGTTCCTTGTATCTATATGTACATGTACATACACGTGCATAATAACTGCTTTGACAGTTGCAACATTGGAAACCAAGGAGTATCAGGCATCAATTGACCATTCAGGAATCAGGACCCATATGCATCAGGAAATCCATTTGGGTTGAATTGCTATCTTCACTGCAGGGGCGGCCATTGGACCTTTATCTAGGATGCAGCAGATTCAAGGAGACACTCAAGAGGTCATTAGGTGGATGCAGGAGGTTCAGGCCTTTGGCAGATCTATCATTATCTTCAGGAAGCTTGACCCTTGGATAATGGTGTTTAGTATGAACACCTTGTTCAGTTGAGTTCAAAGAGACAAAGACCAGTGATTTCTTTTTGCAAACTCTCTAGATAGAGGGAAAGCTAGTTAGGCTTTGTGGGGCCTAACAACGAGTACTAGGACCTTTTTTATAATAAAGAACACATCTCATTAAATTAAAAGAAAAAAGGATAATACAAAATAATAAGTGAGATTTAGCATGCAAAAGAAAGAAAAATCAACTGATTAGAGGATTAAAACCCCAAAAAAACTTGACATTATCAATTACAATATCTAATACAATGAGGGTGAGCCTTGGCGCAACAGTTGGGTTGCTCCATTGCAACCTGGGTGACCAAGGTTTAAATCTTAGAAACAGCCTCTCTGTATGTGCAGGGGTAAGGCTGCATACATCTGTCCCTCCCCAGACCCCACATTGGTGGGCCTTGTGCACTGTGCTGCCCTTTTAATATCTAATACAAGAAATACCTTTGCACACCCCTATTTTTATACCTCAGATGATTAGTACAAGAAAAAACTTACTTTTTTCATATATATAAATATATGTATTAATACTTTGAATTTTTTGACATGAGATGATGTTATCCCAATTGGTCAACATGTTTGCCATGTTATACAGAAAGAGTTATATTATGTCTTGCATTTATATACTAGACTAGAAGGAGAAGCTAAAGATGCAAGTAGATCATCTTTGTACCAAAAATTCTGTTTCTTAATTATTTTCTCTCCTCTCATGTATATCTTTGTTTTCCATACATTGTAAAAGCTTAATGGAGTACTATGGCATTTTAGAAGTTAGAAAAGCTTTTTTATGAATCAGGTTGTACCTGTAGCTTAGTCTCCCTTGGTAAGAGTTTAAGAGCCTGAGCTCCATTAATTCTATCCCATCTCCTGCTCAAAAGATCTAGGACCTCATCAATCATCATGGTAGAACCCCCTTCCTCACTTTGTTCATCTCCATCACCATCACTTCGCCCGCTACCGTTGCTGCTGGAACTGATACGAATGTTGTCTGCACCCTCTATCTCAGCAATTTTCTTTGCACGAGCCCCTTTAGCTCTGGTTGAACCAACCTTCTGGATGCCAGTATGTTGAGATGATACTAGATTTTTTATCCGCTTTTCAAACTCCCTTGTTGTTCTCAGAGGATTAAGATATATTTGCAGAAGGGTTAGATAGATGTTGCTAAAAGATTTAGAAGGCTGATGCTGTTCGCTCTCATAGACACGATCGCAGTAGGCCAGTGCCATATCAGGAACATGAAGCTAAAATTTGACAAATAAATAGGGGGTTCAAAAGATGTATAAAACAATATATATATATATAGCCACATAAGAGCTTATTCAAAACAAGAAGGAAAATTTTTCATATGGTCCCCATCTTAGATTTCAAAATTTAGATGCAAACTGCAGAACTGACTTCAATTTCACTTATCAACAAAGATTGAAGTCTTGTTCAAAATCTCCAAATTCTGAAATTCTGTTTTGGCTTTGATGGTCATCATACATAGAAGAACTAGAATAGAGACAAGAATGAAAAAAAAAAAAGGAAAAGAAAGAAAATAAGGGTAGAATAAAAAATCATGCTTTCCTTTTAATTTGCACTTAAAAGTTCTACAGAATCCCAAATGAAATGAAAAATCCTACCACGATTTCAATTAAAACTCCAGTTTCAATCCTAATCAAAGGTCAAAACCCGGTTTGAAATCAAAATTTATAACCTTGTTTTCTAATGACCCTTGGAATTCCATCCAATTCTTTTAGAGCAAGTCCCTTGTTTCCCTCTTAAGGTTGGAGAAATTCACTCTAATAATCAAAAGAATAGCATGCAAGTTCCCAATACACCAATTGGGTGTGGATAAAATAAGCTTGTAAACCCAACCCAGAGGACAAAACTTTCTCTTTTAACTCTATCTTCAGCATGCATTTGATATACAGATTGCTTTATGAAATAAATAAAGAGCTTTATTTACAACTGGGCCTAGTCTTGTTTCAGCCATTTTTCTGGCGATACATACCATGAGGGATAACATGGTACATTCTGAACTTACAAAGGTTCAAAATGCAATTACCACTAAGCTAATTGTCAGCTGTTCAGAAGCCCATTTCAAGTCCTCATGCATGAGTTGGACGCAAAAAGTTTGAACTGTTTTGAAGAATAATTACTATAATCGAGTAAATGAAAAATAATGTTAATGGGGTCCTTAAATGTGAATACTTCATCCAGTGGGTGCAGAGATAAGGTAATTCTCTAGTCGATTTGTTAACTAGAGAGGAGTGGGACAGGGCCAGTTGTATTGGGAGACTGCCCTTTCAGGATAGACTTGAGATTTTTTGTTTATTGTTTTATGAAGGGATGAAAGAATGTCATTTTAGTGGTACCTTAGTTCTCCAACTATGGGAGTCTCATTTTGTACTCTATATTTCACTTCTTAATGAAGTTCTCTAGATCTGTTATAACTAGAACAAATGAGATGCAAATTTGAGATCACAGAGTAATACCTTATGTACATAGAGAGATAAGGCAAGCTGGTGTTGATTCATTTTCCCCAACAAAATTGCACGTTCCTCATACAAAGCATCAGATGGAAGACGCTTCAACAGACCCTCTGGATTATATCCTGAGATACTTTCTAAAGCAGACAATAATTTCTTGCGTGTTGGAAAATAAGCTTTCTCGTCCCACTTCTGTTGAGAATTTAGATCAGCATACCATTCAAGTACCTCTGAGAGGTAGATTTGCACCTATGAAACAGAACCGATGAATAAATATAATTCTCTTTTATGTAAAAATAACAACATGATAATGGCAGTCATTTAGGAAGGAAATACTATTTCAAAACTGCTATGAGGAATATGAAAGGAGAAATTCTCGCACCATTTCATTCTGAAGGTTTCCAGATATTCCATTTTCATTCATTGCAAGCATAAGTTCTAAATATGTAGCTTGCATATTTGGTGCATGCTGCTTTAAGTAAGAATTGACCAAATCTGCTGGAACATTTCCAGACAAAAAGAGCTCAATTGTTTGTGTTGGACAGGTCTCAAGAACATGCATAGAGAACTCCAGGACAAGCATAGGTTCTGTTCCACAGAGAGGCTGCACAAGAAAATCCATTGAGAACATGTTAAAAGATCAATTAAACATCAGCTTCATACTTAGTACATCAAACCCCCAATTTCTTCATTATAAACTTTTGAGGCCACCAATATATATATATATATATATATATATATATATATATATATATATATAGATATACTGCTTGGTCACTAAACTAAAAATTACTTCACAAGCAAGCAAAAAGTGATGAATTGAAACTTGCCTTATTGATCTGGAATCCCCATACCTTACTAGTTCATTACCCCATGGGATGCAATAGGATGTTATAGAATGAAACAAAATTTAATATAAAATCCATATTGCTGCTTTTTCAGCACTCTTGTTCATTTTTCCATCATCTTCCCAAGAATTATAGCTTCTCTACGAAAAAAAGTATGCTCTGAATGAGAAGACTTGCCTTCAGATACTCAATAATCATTTCTGGTTTGAACTTTTGGGTGAGATCAGATTGCTGTTGTTCCGCGTTTGATTCTTCTACCAATCGAGTCAGAAGTGTTAGAGCTTCACGGTGCATTTCATTGCACTTGTAGAGTTCCAGCAATGCAGTGTTACAACTCTTTTTCTGCAAAAATTCCTCACATATTTTTATATAACAATAGTTGGGACCTTTAAGTAGCTCTAGTGCAGCTGAAAATTGCCCAGTAAGAACCAGAGCCTGGATTAATGCTGTATCCAAAATTGCAGCCATCTCTCTAGCCCCTGAATTAACACGGACGTTCCCACGGCCCTAAGGATGAAAATAATTTGTGGTTAGAGAACAAAAATACCAAATAAAAAAATATGCCTAAACTGAGGTATTTATCCACTTAATGATTTCCCAACAAAATCCATGAGGTCTGTGGTTTCAACCAATACTTGTTCATAATTGCAAGCTAATGGAAGCCAATAATATAGAAAAAAAAATCCATTAAAATAGAACAACATCAAGAATTTTGATATCTGTGAAACTTAGGCTTGGGTGTTCATGTGTCAATCTAAGAGATAAGTACATGGCATCAATGATCAACCATATCATTATACCTGATACATCAAATGTTATTTCCTTTGGTGCTGTGAGAGATATTATACAAGAACATTATTCAAATAGAAGTGTAGTCCATGGAAGATAATAGTAACTACAATCTGTTCACATGGATGTAACTGCCATGTTTCAACATGAACATGGGGTTTCAGACACAGTAAGCCACCAAAATCCAGAAACATTTAAACATGGCTATACATATACATATGTAAACATGTTTGCATGTACTATGAAGGCATGTATTTATATGCTTGTGGACTTTGCATTTTACCAAATAGAAATTAAAAAAGAAAAAAACAAACAAATGCAGTGGATTACAATATAAACTATATAGGGCACACCTTTGTGTACATCTTCGAGGTAAATAGGAGTAGACACATTCATGTGTGTCCAACTGTATCTGACTGACACTTCTTGACACAGGTGGCTGCATATCATAGTGTACTAGTTATTTTGCAGCCCTAAAATCAAACATCAGTTTCCAAATGGTGCAAAAACAACCATCAACCCCTCTTTTATGCCAAAAGGGTTCTCAAATTGTGGATTTTAGTATTCATGTTATGGGAAGTTAAAATTTTCAAGTTGTACAGATAAAATAGCTCAAAAGATACTTATCACAAGTTAGAAAGGCTTCCATGAGTAAGCTAAAGAGTTACCAGATACATGACATGACCACTATGTTTACATTAAAATGGTTTTCCCATCATGAATTTCAGATATATGCCTCAAAGATGGAATATGTAAACTATAATAAGAAAAGAACACTAGTTATTGGATGTTTCTCCATGAATAATGTTGCAATTTCTCAGTCATAGTTAACATAAGATAATTTTATTTTAGATGACTGTAGAGAGACTGGGCCAAATGGGCCCTAATATTTCTTTTATGTTTAAGTAATGTTATATCTGTTTTATGTGTTAATGGGCCTGTTAACCTCTTTTTAAGTTCTTTTAAGTTACTGCTTTGCTGGCCGCCCACTTAACGGACAGACTTGTAATTAGCATGACTAATTAAGTTTAATAAAAGATTAGTGAAGGGAGAGAGAAATCCACCGAACTCACTTCTTCTTCTCCATCTTCTTCTTTTTTTTTTTTGATAAATAAAATCATTTTTCATTAAAATAATGATTAGATACAAGAAAAATCCCTCAGAGGCGCAAGGAGCAGCCTCTCCAAATACACAAACTACAACAGAGAATACATGAATGTTGAAATTAAAACAAGTTACAGTTGTGCCCAGAACAATGTTTCCCTATTTATCCCTTGTTTTGCCAAGACATCGGCAAAAGCATTAGCTGATCTCCCAAACCACTGTACTATTATAGACATATTTCTTGTCAGCCATTTGAATTTCTTTAGCTCATTTTTGTAGCCCCAAGTGACATCCTCCAGATTATTTAACCAGTCCACCACTGTCTTAGAGTCTCCTTCAATCAGAAGCTGCTCCACGCCCACTTCTTTTACAAGAAGTATTCCTTGTATTGCAGCTAACAGTTCTGCCCAGATAGAGTTCCCAACACCTAAAGGGGTAGAGTAGAGTAAGACAACCTCTCCAGCCTCATTCCTCAGTACACCTCCCATCCCAGAGGGACCCGGGTTACCCTAGCTACTCCCATCAAAATTCAGCTTCAAAGAACCAAGAGGAGGGGGGACCCAGCTAGTCAATACCCTTACCTTGTAGGAGGAACAGCTTGCTACCAACTTCCAAAGGTGATACCAAAGACAAAGATTCAGGCATGGGCAAATTGTTTCCACCCCTTCATTAGAGCCTCTTACACCTCCCATCACTACTGAGGTAACAGGTCAGCCTTCCTCTGACCCACCTACTACCTTCCCAGACCTTGACCTTCCTATTGCCCTTCGAAAAGGCAAGCGGAAGTGTACAGCCCATTGTATCTCTAAACATTTGTCCTACAACCTTCTATTCCCTACCTATTATTCTTTTCTTGCCTCTGTTTCTACCCCATGTGATTCCCAGGTCTATACCAGAAGCCTTGTGCAAACCTGAATGGAGGGATGCTATGATGACTTAGTTAGATGCTTTGCATAAGAACCATACATGGGATATTGTGGACTTACCTGAAGGGAAGGAACCAATGGGTTGTAAATGTGTATTCACTATTAAATATCATCCTGACGGCACTATTGAGAGGTTTAAGGCTCGATTGGTTGCTAAGGGTTACACTCAAATGTATGGTATTGATTACCTCGAGACTTTTGCTCATGTGGCCAAAATGACATCAGTTCAAGTCTTGTTGTCTCTAACTACTACTTTTGATTGGCTCCTTCATCAGTTTGATGTTAAAAATGCCTTCTTGAATGGCGACCTACATGAAGAGGTCTATATGTCTTTACCTCCAAGGATGTATGGAAAGGAAATGCAAGGGAAGGTGTGTAAATTGAAGAAGTCTATTAACAGCAGAAGAGAGGAGAAATAAGGAAGAAGAAGAGAAGGGAAAGGTTTTGGAGTTAATTGAACTGACTGGCGGCGCTAGCTTATATTATTATATATAGGGTGACCATAATTAAAAAGGAAAAGACCCTTATGCCCCTACTTAAGTTAGAGTACATAAACAATGATAAAAAATCCAGACCAAACATACCCTAACTCAACAGAATACAAACATAAAAAGTAAAGTAAGCATTCAAACACTCGCCCTCAAGTTGGGACATAAATGTCAATCATGCCCAACTTGTCACACAAATTATTATGCCGCACATGATGAAGGCCCTTGGTGAAGATGTCTGCAAGTTGTTCTTTGTTCTTTTGAACTGACATATGGAATGCACACTTCTCCGCTCACAAGTTTTTCTCTAATAAAATACATGTCCACTTCAATATGTTTTGTTCTATCATGGAGGATTAGGTTAGCAGCTTTGTTGTCACAATAGAGTGGCATAGGTTTGTTAACTACAAAACCCAGCTCTCCTAACAAGTTTTTTATCCACATGATTTCAGCAACTCCATGAGACATAGCTTTGTATTCTGCTTCAACACTGGATCTAGCCACTGCCCACTACACTTTGCTTCTTACTTCTCCAGGTGACTAAGTTTCCTCCCACAAAGGTACAATACCCGCTCGTAGATTTTCTATCATCGCCTGCCCATGCCCAATCAGCATCTGTATACACCTCCACTTTCAAATGCCCATGTTTCTGGAATAGAAAACTAGCTCCTGGGAACTTCTTAAGGTATCTAAGGACCCTTTCTACAGCTTCAAAGTTAGTTGTCTTAGGGTTATGCATGAATTGACTAAGGACACCCACTACATAAGCAACATCAGGTCTAGTCATAGACAAATATAAGAGTCTCCCTACAAGTCTCTGGAACTTCTTCACATCTTTCAAAAACTCCCCCTGATTGCCTCCCAGTTGATGGTTGGGTTCAATGGGTGAATCAATTGGTTTCACTCTTAACTTGCTTGTATCCTCTAATAGATCAAGTACATATTTCCTTTGGGAATTAAAGATGCCTTTTTGAGAGCGGGCGACTTCAATCCCAAGGAAATTACATAAGAGGCCTAGATCTTTCACCTCAAATTGGGTAGCCAGGAATTTCTTCAGCTTCTGTATTTCAGTCTTCCAATCCTCTATGACCACTATGTCATCAAAATACATAATTAAAGTTGGAATTTTCCCTTCAGCTTTCTTCACAAACAAAGTATGATCTGACTGGCATTGTTTGAATCCCATCTACTGTACAGCTAAGTGAAACTTACTAAACCAGGCCCGAGGTGATTGTTTCAAACCATATAATGATTTTTTTAACCTGCACACCTTTTGCTCACTACCTTTGGCACAAAAACCTAGAGGTTGAACCATGTAAACCTCCTCCTCTAAGTCACCATTCAAGAATGCATTTTTAAGACCCAACTTGTGAAGTTCCCAGGTGAAGATTAGCTGTCAATGAAAGGAGGATTTTGATCGAATTCATCTTGGCTACTGGAGCAAAAGTCTTTGCATAGTCTACTCCATATACTTGTTTAAACCCTTTGGCCACCAATCTAGCTTTGTACCTTTCTACCGAACCATCAGCCCTATGCTTTACTGTGAATACCCACTTGCATCCCACTGGTTCCTTTCCTTCAGGAAGATCCACCAACTCCCAGGTGCCATTTTTGTGTAAGGCATTAATTTCTTCCTTCATTACATCTGTCCATTTAGGTTTGGATAAGGCTTCTACCCCATTCTTAGGAGCAAAAACACTATCAACAGAGGAAAGGAACACACGATATGAAGGTGAAACATGATCATAGGGCACAAAGTGAGAGATAGGATGATAGTACAAGATTTAACACCCTTTTGTCTTAGCAATAGGAACATCAAGATCATTAATAACAACGGGATCACAATCAAGAGGTTCAAGAATATCAATGGGAACAAATGTACCTGGTTGACGAGGAGGATCTGCCTCTAGAGAGTCTAATGATGTTGGTTGCACAGTTTTAGGTTCCACGGCTCTTGAACTCTGCTGGCTCTTATGGCGGTGAAGAAAGACATGAAATGGAGGAGGATCAAGCAATGAAGGTAATTGAATCTGAGCCTAGGTGTGTTTTTCCCCCTCAACCCTACTCTTTCCCTAAGGAGAAACCGAGAAAAAAGGTTGACTCTCAAAGAAGGAGACGTCCATGGAGACATAGTACTTGTGTGAGACAGGATCATAGCAACGATAACCCTTTTGAGATAAAGAGTAACCAAGGAACACAT